AAGGTGTATGCCTTATCGGCCTTCCAGATGGGCAGGATAAAATGTCACAAGGACTCAGTGAATGCCTGACCCTGTGGAATGCAAACTCGGGACTGAGCTTGATGGTCCCATCTTTAATCAAAGTCTCCAGGGCTGAGAAAATATTTCATATTTTTAAAAACCCCCTGAACTCTAAAACAGCAATTATTGAAACAAATTTCAATATATTTTATTTAACTCAGTATATCTAAAATACTGCTAGTTGTAAAGACCTTGAATGAATGATCAATGCAGACTGATATTTATTATTCCTTACTGCAAGGAAGCTGATTCTTAAAATTGGTTGCTAAATCTAAACCACAGTGAGATACCACTTCACACCCGTTAGCGTGGTTACTACCAAAAAACCACAATAACAAGTGGAGAGGATGTGGAGAACCTGGAACCCTTGTGCACTGTTAGTGGGAATGCAAAATAGTGACACTGCCGTGGAAAACAGTTTGGCGCTTCTTCAAAACGTTAAACACAGAATTACCTTAGAAGCCAGCAGTTCTGCTTCTGAGTGTGTCCCTGAAAGAATTGAAAGCAGGGACTCAAACAGATGCTTGTACACCCATGTTCGCAGCATCATTAATTACAGTAGCCAAAAGGTCCATCAGTGGATGACTGGATAAACAAAAGGTGGTTGAGCCATACAACGGAATATTATTCAGCCTTTAAAAAGGAAGGAAACGCTGGCACCTGCTACAACATGGATGAACATTATGCTGAGAGAAATAAGCCAGACATGAAAGGACAAGTATTGTATGGGCCCCTTATAGGAAGGACCTAGAATAGTTCACTGCATAGGACAGAGTGTGGAGCAGTTGCCAGGGGCTGGGGAGGAGGGGGTGGGGTCTTACTGCGTAATCGGTAGAGTTTCTGTGGAGGATGATGAAGAAGTTCTGGAAATGGACAATGGTGATGGTTGCATAATGTTGTGAATATGCTTAAATGCCACTGAATTGTACAATTAACAATGGCTAAAGTGATAAATAAAATTTTTTAAAAATTAGTTGTTTGCTGAGCTAGCTGGGCTTAAAGCAGACTGGGAAGGGAAGGGAGGGGAGAGCTCACACTGTCTTCAGAAGGGCTGTGTACCTAGAGCTGCCCAGACCTGACGCAGGTCCACAATTCCTGAATGTTGTTTTATAAAAAAAAGGTGCAATCTAAAGGCAAGACCCTCCCCTCGGACGAGCTGGGTCTGCAGGGCTTTCCCCTCTTTTCTCATCAGTCCCCACAGTTGGAGGCCCTGGGGAGCAGTGGTACAGATGACGTCTCTGAGATCTAACCAGTGCCCCCTCCTTGCCCCAGGTTAATTGGGCAGAATGCACAGGGCTTTGGCTGTCCCAGAAGCCAGCTCACTGTCCTGCTCCTTGGCCAGGTTCAGCCTCTGGGGGTGCGCACAGGACAAATGCACGCCCTCTCCATCCTTAGTCCCTTTGACCTGGCCCAGTCGCAAACGCCACATCCAGCAGAAGGAATGGAGGCTCCCATGGCCAGGACACGGGGTTGGTGTGGCTGCAGCAACTTCCTGGGCCGCATTCTCCCCTACTCCTGTGCAGCTCCCTGAAGACCCCGGCGGGACCCACAGTGTTAGAACAGCACGTGAGGTGTCTTGGCTGCTGCCCATCAGTAAATGTGTGATACGGGTGTGCACTGATAAGATACAGAGTGTGTTTTAAGACATATACCAGAAACAAAGGTTTGAAAAGAGGATACTTGAACTCTTAGTTCTTAATTATTTAGTATTAACTTTTTTTTTCCCCCTGAGGAAGATTCACCCTGAGCTAACATCTGTTGCAAATCTTCCTCTTTTTTTTTTTTTTCTCCTGAGGAAGATTGTTTCTGAGCTAACGTCTGTACCACTCTTTCTCTGTTTTGTATGTGGGTCACCACGTGGCCGATGAATGGTGCAGGTCTGCACCCAGGATCCGAACCCACAAACCTGGGCCGCCAAAGCAGAGGACACCAAACCCAACCACTATGTGACGGGGCCAGCCCCAGTATTAACTTATTTTTTAACCTGTATGTTAATATAAAATTTTAATATTTCTACAATTTTTCATGTTTACCATTGCCATATTTCTTTGCAAAGGGTCCGCCTAGGGTATATGCATGACCCTGGAAGCCACTGCTCTAGGAACTTTGTCATTTGTTCCCTTTTCTCACCCCTAACCAAGAAGAGGTTCATAAATTCCAGGTATGATGTTTCAAAAATCCCCCCATCTCAAACCTAAATAGCCACTTTGTACAGAACATACGTACCATAAACATCTGGCTCACAAAGCAAGCCAGCACCCAGCTCTCCCCCACCCATCACCCCAACTGTTGTCAGAAGCATGTTCCTTACTCGGAGCCCACCTGCTGGTCGTTGATGTGCTCTCCCTTGATTCATGGGATCCAACGAGTGGTGTGACTCAACAGCTTAAGTAACGACGTGTCAAGGGGTCAGAGCCTCTGGAAGATTAGGGGTTAGCGAGAAGCATGATCGACTGATTCGGTTGCAGTTTTCCTATAGTCCAGTTCTGTGTGTAAATGTGTGTGTTTGTGCGTTTTATACACATACTAATATAAAATTACAAGTGATTTTAACTTTTTTTTTGCTTGTCTGCTTTTCAACAATGATTGTATACATATATATATATGTAAAGAAAAAGAATATATATTTACATGCATATATATAAAATGACCCAAGCTTCCTCTGCCATCTTTTGGGGCTCACTTTGGGATGGGGGGTGGCTAATCTCCCCTATTTTGTGTTTATTCTGACTAGATGCACTCTCCGTGGATGACTTTCTCATCGTGTTCTTGCCAGGTGAAGGAGCTTTCTCTATTTCTGCCTTTCGGAGCCTTGACTTAGGTTACAAAACCCATACGAAGCGGAGAGGATTGAAGTAATCGTGCACTCTTGGCCCAGAAAGAAGGCCATGCCTTGCTGGAAGGCGGTGCTGCATAGTTAGTTATGAGAATGGAGCCATCCTGACTTCAGGCTCTGTCTGCATTTTTAAAGGAACATTCAAAACTTAAGAACCTTTTGTGCTACCATTTCTGTATTCCTTTGCAAAACGTTTATACAATGTTAGAATCCAAAACATGGTTTCCAAGCTTTGGGTGGAAAACCCTTGTGGTGACAACTCTGGAGGCCGAGCCTGTGGGTGTGGAGCAGCGTAGCAGGACGTGCTGGCATTCCGGATGAATCCGGTCATCCTACACAGGGCACTCACGCTTGAGCTGAACTCACTCATCTCCAGCTGGCTATTGAACCTGTAGCCAAATCATATTTGTAGTAAAAGAAAAGGAATCCAACCCAGTTAACCACATGTCAAAAGCTAAATAAAACCAAGGTCACGTAGGGGACATTTCTGCACAGCTTAGTAAGATTTGAAGTTTCTTAATCTCCTGGAGTAAACAGAAATTACTTGGGGTAGTTTCAGGTGTTTTTGCTAAACTCTTTGGCTGTCAACTGTGAACCTTCTGAATACTGGGACTTTTGCCTGCAGCAAAACAAAGCTAAGACAAGTGGTTTCCTTCAAAGGACCCCCCGCAGCCGAGCAGAGCAGCAGAGCTGGTGGGGGCGGGCCGGCAGCTCGCGGGATGGAGTCCGCTGTCTGCCCAGCAAGACTGGCCACAAGCAGAACTGTCCACCTCCTCGAGCTGCCCCTGTCGCACTTTCCTCCCAGGCTGGCCTTGCGTCTGCCTATTGCTCCCGGGTCTCCCCACCTCTGGTCGAGGCCTTTCAGAGGTGTGCACACCTGTGTACTACCTGGAACTCTGTTCCGACGTTTTTAAACTGACACATGCAGCCATTACAAAAATGCGTAGAAAAGCATATAATAACATGGAAGTATGCTCACCTTCCTAAGTATAGAAAGCAGATTACAAAACAATATGCCTCTTTTTGTAAGAAAAAAAGAAATTTAATAAGAAAACAAGTGTGTCTGTCTCTCCATAGAAAGGAAGACTGAAAGGATATCCATCGTGTGTTAACAGTTACTACCTCCTGGTGGCACAATTACAGGTGACTCGGGGGCTGGCCCCGTGGCCAAGTGGTTAAGTTCACGCGCTCCACTTCAGCGGCCCAGGGTTTCACAGGTTTGGATCCTAGGTGTGGACCTGGCACCACTTGTCAAGCCGTGCTGAGGTGGTGTCCCACATGCCACAACCAGAGGGACCTACAGGTAGAGTATGCAACCGTGTACTGGAGGGCTTCGGGGAGAAGAAAAGAAAAAGAAAGGTTGGCGACAGATGTTAGCTAAAGTGCCAATCTAAACAAAAAAAGAATTACAGGTGATTCTTACGTGTTTTGGCTTGTCTGCTTTTCAACAATGAACATGTAATGCTGTGGCCCTGTATTTCATCCCCTCAGCTTTGGTGACAGTGTGGGCGAGCTCAGTATGATTTAAGATGTTAAAAATGGCAATAGCTTCACCTGGGCCTTACATTTTTAATACTTGGGGTCCCATAGGGGCCAGGAGCTTTGCATTGGCTCTGGGATCTCACCTGGTAGAAGCGGCCGGAAGCCATGGTCTCCGGGAGGACTCTGGAAGGGGTCCCCTCAGCCTGCAGGACGGGGAGGGTCCTTGGCTGGAGTCTCCGTGTTCATCCAGCGTGACCCTGCTTCTTTCCTGTTTCAGAGAAGCGCCCGTGTCCATAACCTCTTAAAGCCAAAACTGCTGGGCTTGCCCACAGTCACAATTTGATGATGAGCCAAAAACAAAAACAAAGAGCAAGTGCTTTTCGGCGACTCGCCTGCTGTTTGCTACAGCCTCTTTTCCTCTCTCGCTCTTGTCTGAAGTCACCTCAGGAGACTGTCCTGTGCCCAGTAACACGGGAAGAGGTGTGCTTCCCGCTTCCCCCTCCTCCTCAGGGTCGCTTTGTTCCACTCCCTGAAGCCAGCCTCGTCCACGTTCACGGTGCCCACTGTGTCCCCATCCTGCGAGTTGTTCTGTTGACCCATCTTTTTCCTTTTTGTTTTCCAGTCCGCCCAAACCGACCGTGTTCATCTCTGGTGTTATCGCCCGGGTAAGAGCCATGTCATCACAACGTGGCCTCAGCGTGCACTCTCTTGCTTCCTTCTGTCTTTGTTAATCCCATTCATCCAGTCCGGGCTCTGGTGGCTGAGTTGTCTCATGTCCATGGAGTGTATGTCTTCCTTAGGCGTGTATGAAACCGTGTCAACAGGGGGCGCACGCGTGAGCTGGAACGCCTCCTCTCCTCCTGCCTCACCCACCCCCTTCTCCTATATTCAGCCAGGGGTCGGCCAGCTACCCACCGGCCAAGTGTTTCTCGGTGACCTGTGAGTGGAGAATGTTTTTACACTTTTAAATGGTTGAAAAAATCAAAATAAGAATTATATATCATGACGTGAAAATTATATGAAAGTCAGATTTCGGTGTCCATAGATGAAGTTTTCGTGGCATGTGGCCACGCCCATTCATGTGTGTATCATCTGTGGCCACTTTCACGTGATAGTGGCGGAGCTGAACAGTTGAGGCAGAGAGTAGAACCCACAAAGCTTAAAATATTTACTATCTGGCCCATTACAGAAAATGTGCGCTGACCCCTAAAGTCAGGTCACACCCTTTATGTTTCAGCAGCCCCCTCTTCTGGGGAGACCCAATAGTTCATTTTAACCACAGACCTCCCACCAGCAAACTCCCCTTTTGGGGATGACACACGGATACCAGCCATACTTCTGTAGCTCACAGTACATTTGAGCCCTTAGCATGCAACGTGTAAAGGAAATGCCATTGTTGGGGACAGCTCACCACAGCCATCCAGAGACCCTCAGACAGACGGGTGGCACATCTACTACATGTGAGGAAATGAAATGCCCACACAGGTCCCAGGTCACCCGATGCCGGTTGGCTCAGCATGAGCCTGACGCGTCTCCAGCCTGCCAGTGGAGGCTGGTCCCTAGCCCCCGTCACATGTGCGGTGTCAGCACGAGAAGGCAGTCCCTCCCTGGAAAACAGCCAGGTGGCTTCTCTGAGACTCTGGGTTGACTCCGGCTCTGTCTCACGGCTGTTGGCCCTGCCCTATGCCTTTCCTTCCCGACTGGGGTCCCGGGCCCAACTCACCACTGTGGTGGCAAATCTGAATTTAAGACCCTGCATTTGATCCTGTGTTGCCCCCAGCTCAAAAGATCACAAGAAAACTTCTAGCCTAAGAAAGCCACCAACACAGTTAGTGCCCAGGGAATCTTATGGTGACCTGATCTCATGGTCACATGAAGGCAGAGACAGCGAGCATTCTTCCCTTCCGGGTGGTACGTGGGCCTCAGTGCCTGCTTCTGCTCCCCAGAGAGCTCCAGGACCCCTCCAGGCCCAGGAGACAGGCTTCCACCGGCCGAGAGACTCCCCATCCCACCCTTACCCTGCAAGGAAGCTGGCGGACGCTGGGTTGGGGCCTTGCTCGTGCACTAGCCCAGCTGTCCCCTGTGCTGAGCCAGTGCCTTCTGTGTCTCCTGACAGGGCGACAAAGACTTCCCCCCGGCGGCCGCCCAGGTGGCTCACCAGAAGCCCCACGCCTCCATGGACAAGCACACTTCGCCAAGAACCCAGCACATCCAGCAGCCTCGCAAGTGACCGGCGAGGACAGCACCCTCACCAGCCGCGCCTCGGTGCCCCGACCTTTGGTGTTTCCCCGGCAAGAGAACTGGCATTGTCTTCAAAATCCTGCTCCACTGGGAAATCTAAGACAAAGCAAAGCGCCCCTTCCTTTGCCTTAAATTTCCATATCTAAAACTAGAAACAGATCAGACCCCAAACTTTGTTTTGTGGGAGTCCTGGCTGGTGCCTTATGAGGATCATTGTGTCCCAAAAGTGTCATTAGCAGAACAGGCCACACCCTGAGTAAAATGAACTTGTCCAGAATTTAGCTTTAGTTCCATTTCAGCCATGGCCTAAGTCTCTCCCTGTGGCCTTAAAAGCCAGAGGGCACAAACGTGGGAGGATAAGAGGAAGGTCAGAAAGGCGCCATGGATTCATGCTTTTTAGTAACAGGACAACAAAGTCTTAGCACCTAGGGGAGGGTAAGAAGGGCAGGTGCACATTACAGGGGCAGGTTTCAGAGGCGGAGCGGGGGAGACTCGAAACAAACAGCTACGCTGAGCCTGCCTCCGTCCCTCTGGGATGAGGGCCCACTGCCCAGGGCGACCCCAGCGCTCCCAGGAAAGCCAAGGAAAAGCGCGCATCTTTGAAATGGCCCTTTTGTTCCAGGAGTCGTTGTGCTGAAAAATTAGAATGTAGGTAGTTTGCCCAAAGTGGGTACTTCTGGAATGGGTCCCACGTCCCACCCTGCCTCACCATCCACGCAGGCTCCGCTTGGAAAACCGAGGCCATCCTACATTTTTTCAGTAGTCGCCTCTAGAGCTGCCTTTGAGTTCTGGAAGTGATCACTGACCAGGCAGAGGAATAGACGTATAGCCAATTCTGGAACAGCAGAGTGAAAGCATTGAATCCCGGATAGACCAGATGAAAACCTGCCCTTTATCTCCCTAGGGAACAGTAGAAACACCACATTCCATTTGAGCTAGAAAAGCCTGTTTGTCAATCAGTCAGACTGTCCAGATTCCTCTGCCCGAGAGCCATTTGCCTGGGCCCGTGTCCTCTCAGGCACGTCATGTCATTCTCCCCTTTCTGCACGCACTTCCGGCCCAGAGCCTCCCTGGGCTGCTTGCTGGCTCCCAGCTCTGTAGTGCCTGCTTTCCTGAAGAGCCGGAGGGCTCGTGGACTCAGATGCTAACTTCTTCCGGAGCAGATGCTTTTGGAAAAGATGGGCCCCGGCTGTCTGCTTACCAGCAGCGGCCTTTGCTGCCGGTCAGCAGTGGTGCCAGGAGCAGCCTGCCCCCCACCAGCCTTTTGATGCCGTTATCAAATCCACGTCTGCCCAATGGTAAGAGTGGTACAGACCTAGTCAGACCCACCTCTGGCTCTTCCCTAAGGGAGAAGCGCACACTGCTTCAAGTTCTAGGGCAACGTTTGGTTTCCCATCTCACCGACTCGCGGAAGCCAGGTCTAACGCTCAAGGTGCCGTGTTGTCACATCTGGTATTTCTTAATTGCTGAGATGGTGGTGTAAACTGAGGCTGCTTTTAGCAATGCAGACTGGGTGGGCCGCGCTGCCGTGGGCCCACCGAGCAAGCAGACTCCTCCTGGAGCCGGCCCCTGAGGAGGGACGTGCAGAGCAGGCAGCGCTAGGGCTGACCTGTGCAGACGGTTGTGCCCTTCACTGCAGAAATTCAGACGCATCCTTGATACTTCCCAGCTCTGGGCCAGGAGCATCATGCTGTTCCCCAGGGTCACTGTTCATGTGCTGTGAGCTACGTCTGGCGTGTGTCTGTGGGCTCGAGATCGTTGGAAGCAAAATGTTTTCCTGAATGAGTTTATCGATTGTCAACTTCAAGAGTAATAACGATTATAATAAAGCTCCTGCCTTTCTTCTCATGGTTTGTTTTTTCTTTTCTTTCAGAGATTTTTCTTTTACATTTCACCAGGCTTGCCAGATGGTTTCTGTAGGAACAGGCATGCGCATACCTGATGGGTGTTTTCACAAATTGTTTCCCAGACACAAAGTCAAACTACTGGACCCCGGGCCTCTCAAGTCTAATCATCTACTTTAAAATGTCATACAATGGAAAGTCTTGAGACAGTTGATTAAAGCGTCCTGCTTGGGCCTGGCAGCTGGCCCGGTGCTAGGCAGGCCCTTTGGGGACAGACTTAAGAAGGAATTAGTAGTAGGAGGCCCAGGGGTGGCTGTGAGCGGCTTTTGCTGAACAAGACATATTCACCTTTATCCAAAGGTCTCCTGTAACGCTTATGAGAAAATAATCACAACTATTAAACCTCGAGACCCAGGGCCTCACTGGCCCAGGGCGGACTGGGCTGCAGCCCACGGCCCTGAACCTGGGTGTGGCAGTCATGGCCAGTCTGCACCTGCAGCCCTGGCCTGTCCTCAGCCCTTAGCGTCTCCTCTGGGCGCTGCTATTTGTATTCATGCCTTTGTCTCCCTAACTAACTTGAGGATCGGATGAGGGTCTTACTCATTTAGTATCACAGGGCGGACAGTCGTTCTTAGAAGTAAATGTTGGAGGACAGAAATAACAAACACACAACAAACAGGTAACGGAATTGCGCCCAAGGGCTTTCCGAATTATTAGGATCATTGTCACCTATGTTCGTTTCCTTTTACTGCTGTAACAAAGTCCTGCAGGCTGGCTGGCTTTGCACAGTGGGACTGTGTTACTCCAGGGTTCTGGAGTCTGGAGGGTCGCAGTCCAGGTGCGGGCAGGGCCCCGCTCCCTCAGGAGGCTCCAGGGGGATCACTCACTGCCTCTGCCAGCGCCGGGTGCTGCTGGCCGTGCTCGGGGTTCTCCAGCTTGTTGCAGCATAAGTCCAGTCTCTGCCACTGTGTCACAGGGACATCTTCCCTGTGTGTGTGTCTGTGTCCAAACTTCCCTTCTAAGGACACCAGTCATCAGATTAAGGCTCATCCTAATCCAGTATGATCTCCTCTTAACGAATTAGATCTGCAAAGACCCTATTTCCAAATAAGGTCACATTCGCAGGTACTGGGGAGTAGGACTTGAGCATATCTTTTAGGGGACGCTTTTCAACCCAGGACATCAACCATATGCTGAAAAGGCAGAAGCCTTATGCCCAGCTCACACCAGGTGAATAACTCTTCATCTGATAAATTGCTTTTCTGAATAAACTTTGCCGTGAGAACGCTTCACCCGCCGCAGATTTCCTAACAGCGTTGCTGGCTGCAGAGCCACGAGAGACTGGCTGCAGGAAGCAGGGGAGGAGAGCAGAGGTGCAAAGGGGCGGGCACCTTGGGGCTGCAGGCTGTCTGCCCCCTGGGTCCAGTAGCTTCTGAGACTCAGCTCTCAACTGCACGTGTGCTGAGTTCAAAATCAGTGTTTGTAGATCCCCTTTCTTGTTTTCTGTAAGGGAGTATTCCATCAGCGGGAGTTGTCCCAGTTTACAGATGGGAAGACTGAAGCTCAGTGCCCCGTGTCACAGGTCGTGTGACATTTGTCCAAACAAGATATGCAAATGGCCAATAAGCTATGAAAAGATGCTCGACATTATTAGTCACCAGAGAAATGCAAATCAAAATCACAGCGTGATACCACATCACACCCAGTGAGATGGCCAGAATCAAAAAGTCAAATAAGAACAAGTGTTGGGGAGGATGTGGAGAACTCAGAACCCTCGTGCGGCACTATTGAGAATATAAAATAGTGCAGCCACTTGGGAAAGCAGGCAGGTCCTCAGACAATTAAACACAGAGTCACCATATGTCTCAGCAATTCTATTCCTAGGTATATATCCAAGAGAAATGAAAACGGGCATCTACACAAATACTTGTACACAAATGTCCATAGCAGCATTATTTATAATAGCCAAAAGTTGGAAACAACCCAAATGTCCACCAACTGAGAATGGATAAACAAAATGTGGTATATTGCTACCATGGAGTATTGTTCAGCCAGGAAAGGAATGAAGCACTGACACGAGGTACGACATGGCTGAACCTTGAAAACATTATGCTCAGTGAAAGAAGGCAGCCACAAAAGATCACGTACTCTGATTCCATGCCTATGAAATGTCCAGAATAGGGAAATAGAGAGACAGTGGCTGCTTAGGGCTGGTGGGGGCAAGGCGGATAGGGGGTTGATTGCTAAAGGGAACAGGGTTTCCTGGTGAGATGAAGAAAATGTGCTAAAATCAACTGGGGGATGCTTGCACGTAACTGTGAATATGCTGAAAACCATGGAATTTTACATTTTAAATGGGTGAGTTGCGTAGTGCGAGAATTGTATGTCAATAAAGTTTTTTTTTTTAAGACAGTATTAGCAAGTGGCAGAGCAGAGGCTTGTATCCAGATCATTCTGACTCCAGAGGCATCGTCTCCACAGCGTCTGGCCTTGCTCCGTCCGCTGTGGTCCTGGGACTAGAGAACAGAAACCCCACACAGGAAAAGTTGCCACCAAGATCCGATCAAGAACATGGTTTGGATGCAAAGGGCAAGAGAGTCGAGGTGATGCTGCGATTGCAAGCCTGGATGCCCAGCATGGTGGGGAAGGTGCCAACGAAAAGAAGCATGGACGGAGGGAGAGTTAGCTTAGGAGGCAAGAGACCATCGGGACCGAGACTGACGTCCCATGTGGTCTCCAAGAAAAGCTGCTGAGCAGGTCTTTGATAAGGTGAGACCAGTGTGGAGAGGTGCCAGGGCGGAGGGGCAAGCTGGATCCACCTGCTGGGGGTGACAATGACAGCTGGGGCTCAGTAAGGGAGAGAGTGTGGGGACCAGGCCGTTGGGGGATACACTGAAGATGGGAGCACAGAGGTGCCAGGCAGAGGAAGAGAAGCAAGCCAGAGGGCACATGGTCATGGATTCTGGAGAGTTCTGCAGACGGGACACAGAGGCCGAGGATCAAGGAGCTACATCAGGAGACAACAGGGTTCCGTCTCCCTTGGTGACCCAAGACCAGGGATGTGTGATAAGTGGAAAGACAGAAGCCAGATTTCACAGGAATCGGAACGGAGAAGCTTGGAATAAACCCTAGCTGGAAAGAGAAAGTAGGTTTGAAGAAGAAAGAGGTTTTTTTCAGCATGAGCTAAACAGAGACTTGAACATGCTGTGAAGAAAAGCCCAAAGTGACTGAGTACCTAGGAAAAGAAAGACATGTTAACTGATGGCAAAGGTGCTGGAGTGCAGGAATGGTGGGATCAGGGGCCAGAGCAGGGAGCTCACCCTCAGGAAAGAGATGGGAGGGATGGAACAGAAGTAGATATGGACCCAGGATGGTCACGTTGGGGTTGGGAGGACAGCTGTGGCCCTCACTGGAGGTGCACGTCCTCATCTTTCAGTAAAACCTGGCAAAGGGGTTGTCTGCAAAATAGGGCAATGACAAGCTGGTGCTGTTTGATACACGGGGCCAATTAAAGGTGATTAAAATGGTTGCTGAGCCACAGCAGAAAGAATGAGTTGCGATATGGGGGAGAGAAAGTAGCTGGGTCTGTAGTGGAATTGATCCATCCTGTCGTGGGGCTTCCTCCAGCCACCGTCAGGAGGAACAGGAGAAAGCAGAGGCTGCCCAGCGCTCAAGCTACATGGGCAGCGTGGCCCAGTGCAAGGACAAGGACAGGATCCAGGGTGCTTCCTACACACGGAGCTAGCCAAGCAGGGGTCCACCCAGGGAATAGTGCTGGCCAGTTAACACCGAGTGTGTCGTGTGCCAGATCTTTGTTACTGTGCAAAGTGCTCTCCGTGCACCATCTACCAGAATCCTCCCAAAGACCCCAGGAGGTGGACCACTGTGTCATCACCCTTAATTACAAGGCAGGGAACGGAGGCTTGGAAGAGCTGGGACTTGAATTCAGGCAGTTTTACTGCAGAGCTGTAAATTCAGTTACCACACAAACCCAACCAATTACCAAAGCGCACTTGCCTGCTAGCCCAGAAGAGTGGATGGCGTGGAGGGGGCACCTTGGGGGTCCTTGGGAGGCGAGAGGGACTGGAGTCAGAGAAATTCAGGATGCCAGTCAGTGGGATAGCAAAGATCCAAGTGAGGAAAGTCCAGGAACAAGAAGGCCTGGAAGGGTCCGTTTGGATGCTGAAACCCCAAGGATTATGACTTGGATGCTGAAATCCCGGGGGAAGCAGGGAATTCTGTGGGTTGATAGGTGACAGCAATTTAAATAGGGAAAGGATGCATTTAAGCTGAAGGCATGTGATGAGGGCACAGGGAAAGAAGGTCTGTGATGAGGGCAAATGCGAATCTCAAACCCCCGCAGGGACAAGAAGCTCTGCCAGCTGCCACCCTTTGAAAAGGAAGGGCTGATGGAGACCTGCCTGTCCTGTGCAGTAAGCTGTAAGGAAGGCGGGGTCTTGAGCAGACACTCCCAGACATGCCCAGGAATGGTCCAGGTGAGGGGAGTTGGAGGAAGGGCACGAGGCGATGGGCATTGCGCTGGGCCAGCTCACACCTGTGGGTTCCAACCTCACCCCTGCTGGGGTCAGAAGCTCCTCAGTTAGCATCTCTGGACCTCAGTTCTCCACCCATCAAATCGGGCCATTATGTACACAAAGAGTTTTGTAAGGATGAAAAGAAACAATGTATATTGACTTCCTGGCTAATAGAGATACTAATATCAGTAGAACAGGGCTTCCACCATGGGCTAGTGGCGCTGGCGGGGTGCAGAGGTTTTCAATTGACAAGGAGAGAAGATTCCAGAAAGGGATGTTGGATCAATGCCAATCAAGGCTGTGTTCAGGAAGAGCAGGGCAGTAGAGAAGAGGCCGGAGGCCAGGTTAGTGATCAGTGGAGCGGGGATGGGCACAACTGAGGACCCTGAGGACCCTGAGGACCCTCAGGGCCAAGTGTGACCCAGAAGTCGTCAAGGCTCATTTTTTCCTGCATCCTGTGCACCGAGGT